GAACAGCGGAGGCCTGAGCCCCCCCCCGCCGAGAGACGCCGCGCATGCGCTGCAGATGCCTCACCGGCGCCCACCTGCGCATGCGCGCAGAGAGGTGGTCGCCTTCCACCTCACTTCACCTCACCCCACCCCAGCACCTCTCCGGGAGGGCCCGACGCGTGTCACCCCTTCTCCAACAGCCGGCCGGCCGGCGCTGCCGCCCGCCCCAGGCCACCGCTAACCTCCACCGTATTCACAGGAGCCGCCGCTTCCTCCGGAGTCAGGGCTCCCAGCTCCGAGGCCAGCGCCTCCATCACCAGCCCGGCAGAGAAGCCACAGCGGAGACGGACTGCGAGGGACCCACAGTGTCGCAGCCAAACGAGTCCTCCCGTCGCACCGGTGCTGCGCCCGAAGGTTCCGGCGCACGGAGCTCTGACACATAGACACACACGAGGGCACAGAGTAATTAGGGTACAACCTGATTTTTCACAATTTTTAGCACGCAAAGCAACGTGGAGCATAATCTTTTAGCATTATTATTGTCTTTTTCCGATCTTGGTGCTGAATGCTGTAGCTGGATCATCTACAAACCAACTTTATTTCTTTGCAAGTGTCGGGGCTGTAGAGACACCAACATCCCAGTCAAATAGGGGACTATTCATCTTCCCCAGTTTAAGATTAAACAAGAAACATTAGTGATCTCTGCAAATTCCTGTGGCAGTAAATTTTTGCCAGTTCACATATAATAATTTCTAAGTATGTTTAAAACACAAAGTATGAAAACTGTACTTACACACATCTGCTCTGGCTCCAATTCTGCATGAATAAAGTTCACCGAGTTTGGTTGGGGCTTCGCACATCCTGGACATGAAGGCCCAGGTCTGTTAGCCATGGTGACTATGTAATCAGAAATCATTATTACTTCCACAATAGAAAACTATAATAACCTCCAACACCTTCCAGTCTGGAGACTCCTATCTATTTAATCACGCCCAAGAGTGGAGCTATGATCAAGTATACAAATTACCTTTGCGGTGGGTTGACCCTGGCTGGACACCAGGTACCCACCAAAGCCGCTCTGACACTCCCCTTCTCAGTAATGAGAAGCTCATGGGTCGAGATAAGGCAAGGAAATCACTCAGCAATTCCCGTCATGGGCAAAACAGACTCGACTTACAGAAGTTAATTTATTGCCAATCAAATCAGAGTAGGAAAATGAGAACTAAACCCAAATTTTAAAACACTTTCCCCCACCCCTCTCTTCTTCCATGGCTCAATTTCACTTCGGATTTCTCTACCATCGCCCCCTCAGTGGTGCAGGGGGACCGGGAATGGGGGTTGTGGTCAGTTCATCACACGTTGTCTGTGCTGCTCCTTCCTCCTCAGGGGCAGGGCTCCTCACATTCTGCCCCTGCTCCAGCCTGGGGTGCCTCCCACAGGAGACAGTCCTCAAAGAACTTCTCCAACATGAGTCCTGCCCACAGGCTGCAGATCTTCAGGAACTGCTCCAGCCTGGGTCCCCCCATGGGGTGCCACCCTGCAGGAACAGGCTGCTCCAGCCTGGGTCCCCCACAGGGTCACAGGTCCTGCCAGCAAACCTGCTCCAGGCTGGGCTCCTCTCTCCACAGGGCCACAGGTTCTGCCAGGAGCCTGCTCCAGCATGGGCTGCCCACGGGGTCACAGACTCCTTTGGGCATCCGCCTGCTCAGGCAGGGGGCCCTCCATGGGCTGCAGGCAGAGATCTGCTCCTCCATAGAGCTCCATGGGCTGCAAGGGAATCTTTGCTCCTGGAGCACCTCCTCCCCCTCCTCAGTTGTTTCTCATATTCTCACTCCTCCTCCTCCAGCTGCAGTTGCTGTTGCACAGCAGCTTTTTCCCCCTTCTTAAATCTTTATCCCAGAGGCGCTACCCACCATCACTGATGGGCTGGGCCTTGGCCAGCAGCAGGTCCATCTTGGAGCCATCTGGCACTGGCTCTACATGACACAGGGGAAGCTTCCAGCAGCTTCTCACAGAAGCCACCCCTGCAGCACCCGCACTACCAAAACCTTGCCACGCAAACCCAATACAACCTTCTCCCAAGGAGTCAGATTTAAGCAAGTGACTGTTTTGGATGTTTTTTGTGCAGCTGGGTTCAAGTCCCTACTCTGCACTCCAGCTGCAACGGAGAAGTTACAGAAAAAGAAGAGAGTAACAACGTATTATTAGTGCAGTCATTTATCTTCGGCATTTAACAACACATTACATTAAAGAAAGTCTGCACAAATGACTTTTCTCCACCAATGGTATCACAAACAAAATTTAATGCATACAAAACCTCAAATATTTGTATTTCAACGAAGAAAGCTGCTACAGAATGGCATCTTGTTTCACAAGGACAACTTCAGAGTAGAAGCAAGTGCGTTTCAGCCATGGTAGCGCAAACAGCATGCAACACATGACATTTAACAGATGCAATGTCCATGTTCCAAACAATAAAAATTAAGATACATTAAACAATCACTTGAAACATAGGCCATGCTATAAAATGCCCTTTGCAAGTCACCTTATTCACCAAAAAACCCTAATGAATCCTCATTTTTTGAGTATTTACTGGTAAAAAACTAGCATTACAGTTTCCCCCAGTACATTAGAGAACTATAGTTTGGTATTTATTTTTACGTTAGAATGCATATAAAATATTAAGATTAAAAAGTTCATAATCATGTTATAAATCATCTTCAAATGTTCATAAAATCCTCTTTTGGCTGAAGCTCAAAATAGTTTAGATATTTCTAAATATGCAGCAAGTCACTAAGATTTAATTCCCCATAATTGCTTTTGAAATGCATTCTCCTGATGATTTTGAATCGCATATCAAAATTTCATATTTATCTCAGCAAGCCTGTTTTACCTAGTGGCACAATTACAATCTTTGTAGGAGTTCCTTTTTCTCAGGTTTTTCAGGCTTCAGGAAACAGTTCCCTTTAAAATACACATTCATCTTTATTTCGGGTAACGCTTTTACAAAGGATAGAGCAGAAGTGCACAAGAGAAATTTCGTTTCTAAAAAAGGCATTTTGAAGAAAGTTTTTCTTATCATGTACACGTGGCCAAAGTCCTTGGACACTGAGGAACAATTGACTAGAAGTTTCCCTTACTAGAGAGTACTCAGTTCTGTAAAAATGGACTACAAATCCACGTTGCTAATAATGCCCAGGTTTTTTTAGACCTTTATGATAGACATAGTAATGTACATACACGATTTGTGTGACACATTGAACTTCTATGGGCTATTTTTTGTCTCTTCATAAAAAATAGATTGTAATATAAAATATTAAAAACAAGCTATATAACTTGTACCATATGGAGTTTATATATATGACATTTAAAAAGGGCTATTATATGGCAATATATTAAAAAGATCATTTTCAAGTAAATTATGATTCAGTTTCATAGACAAGGACATGTCTATAATACATATTCCAGCAGTTAATCTGATACATGCAAAACAAAGCCTGTGTAAACTTACACAAGTTTACTTCCACATTGCTCAATTTCAAGCCTATTCATTTTCTGTATGCAAGATTCCCAATGCCTTAAATAGGAACTAAGTATTGGGACCTATCCTAAAGGAATTTGAATAAAACTGTAGTATTTCTCAGACTCAAAGTGAATCTAATCACATTTTCAAGAATGACTATCATTTGGGATCTTGCTTTCAGACCCAAGAATGTATTTTGAAAAGCTTATGCCCTCATCCAACAGAATATAAAAGGGGAAGTTGCTCTGTGGTACCCTACGGTCACTCTGAAGTGTTTTTTGGGAATAAAGGTCAGAAAGATCTAACTTAAAAATCCTTTATACCCATTAAGATCAAAGATCAGTACATACACATATTAGAGATTAGATTTAAGAACTGTATTACCTCCACTGGATAAACAAAACACTTATAAACATTATATACAGAAATTTATTCTATCCCCCCCACCATCATCATGGTTCTTCAGTGTTTATCATTTATCTCAATTACAGTTGAGAAGTTATGAATGATTCCTACTTCAAGTGGTGAATGCATCTTCTGTAACTGCTATACTCCAAACAGTTTATAATACTGGCATTCCTTAATGTAACAAAGGCTAAGTTTTGGCTCCAGAAATTGCAGGAGTACCAGAACTTGGCCTAGTATGAGCCTGGTTTTGGTTACAAAAGCAGTTATGCTCTACTTTTTTTTCTTCAAAGTCTTTTCAGAAACATAATTGTTTTATTAAATGTTGCTCTACAAAAATACAGTGTAAGCATAGTATATTTTATCTACAGTTATTTTGTCACTTCATAATTGCATTGCTGTATGTAAATATATTTAAGTTGAAAAATAACATTATATTTTAATGGTGGCAAAACAGCAAGTACTTTGCCAGTTCTTTCTCATTGCAAATCATAATAAATGCTTGTCTTGAAAATGAGTCACTGGCTATTACAAGTGACACAATCCATTAAACAAATTTAGTTTATTAAAATACATGTCCGCGAAATTAATTTTTCCAGTGAATTTCAGAAACTATCTGCCTACATTTTACAAGATCTTTCTCATTAATAATCACTGGAGTGGGCTGTTCTTAGTGGGGAAGTCAGATCACTGTCTTGAAAGGTAGAAGAACAAGTACAGAAACGGGTCATATTTTTTAATTGGCAGGTGTTTCTGTTTCTGCTTTCCCCATTAGGGCTTCAGGAAAAAGTAGTTTTCTAAGTATGTTTGCATAGAATGGTCCATACACTTGTTTATTAAAGTTTACAATGCTTGCATACTGAGATCCAACAAACTCCATCTCCGTCTGAATCACAGAAAGGCCTCCTGGCATAGTAGGCATACACTTCTGAATGGAAGAGCAAGCAAGCTTCTCATGAAGAACTGGATTCGTTTGTCTAAAATGGAATATAAAGTATGCTCAGAACAAACGTAAACCCAAGATGAAGCCATACTCGCTTTGTAAGCACCCTGCACATCAGCTCAAAGAATCCAGCAGCTCTTTCCCAAGCCTGTGTTGCAGTGGGAAACAATACTGAAAGCTTCTTAAAGTTGGCTCCTGCAAGGTGGACACAGCATAAACCTGCTGCAACAAGTTACATTACTTAATACAAAGTCAACTCAAAGAAAAAAAAAAAACCCTACGTTTAACCCAGAACTGGCAGAAAGAACACTGAATAGCACTCATTTTTCTAAGTTCTTCTCCAAAATGCTAGCATGTCTAGGCTTGTTTGCACAGACCCTTTTAAAATTATTTCTAGCTGCAGCTAACCATGCTCTGCAGCATACCAATAACACCATCTGTAGACAAACAAAATTTCCTGACTCTTAGTTGACCCAGCATTTTACTGCAGTAAGAAAGTGCTTTTAAAAAATAATTAGATAGCTGATTAAGCTGACGAAGTTTGTATACAGACAGATAACAATAAGAAAATTATGTATTATCTTACTAACCAATCAAAGAACTGATGGGATTATTCTCCTCAACAATATGAGCAATCTGACCAATTAAATTACTCTGCATTTCTTCATTAAGAGTGGGAAGACCTCTTTCAGTTAGAGACCTGTTCACTTCGCTGCAAATCTGGACACCAATAGCATTCAGAGCCTCCTTCAGATCAAAATTTCTGGAAGAAATAGAAAAGCATTAACTTTTGCTGTTTCTGTAGCATAGGTTGTAAGGTGATCTCACTTATGTCCTTTCTCTTTTATTTTCAACCTGCTCTCTGCAATGAGAGAACTTAGAAAAGTTATCTTTTGCTTTTGCGGTTTTATGTACACCTACAGATACAGGACAAATCTCCATGGGGAAGATAAGGACCTAATTGTGATTCAAATAGGAAAAACAGTTTCAAGTGTGCAGCAGTGCCACCAGTTCATTTTGCCCTTATGCTTAGGTGTTTTCCTGGGGCACATGCATGAGAAAAAAGCAGAGGGTAAAACTATTTTATGAGATGCTCTTTCAGATCACATCACGCTTGCTTGTAGTGCAAGTGGCAGTAGAAATAGGCAGCCAAATAGCATAAGCTAGCTACAAGTTTGAAACAACTGGCAAGACAATTTAGTATTACCAGTCTCTCCAGTATTAGGAGCGTATGAATGAACTTTAGTACTAAGTTCCAAATTCTGTAGACTAACATCAAGATTAAGACTTCATTAAAATATAACTTTGAAAACATGTGCTTAACAGTTTACAGTGGACTTTTATTGCAAAGGGAATATAGATACAGATTATTAAATTTTGGTATCTTCCTCTTATTAATAAGCACTGGCTATGACATTTCAATTGTTCCCAAGGGTCTTCAGATCCATCTGGTATTTCCTGTTAAAAAAACATATGAAGAGTGATAAAAACAAGGCCTTACTTCTTGTTCATGCCTTCAAGAAGAGGAACAGAGATCCTTTTCAGTTGTTCAGCAAAGTCAGGCACATCTACAATTGCTGCACCCACCATATTGTTTGTTATGAGACAAACACAAGCTATGATTTTTAATTGATTGAGCTTTTCTCTCAACTCCTGAAGACGAACTTCATCTGTTATTAGAGTCTAGAATTGAAACAATAATACTAGTTTAGGAATACATAGGGAGAGAGGCAGGAAAAAGGACAGATATAGAACGTAGTCATGAAGCATTAATATTTTTAATCACAAATATGCAAAGTCAGAATAGACAGCATCTGAAATAGCCTGAATATGTAGTATTGCACAAAGTGGCATTATGTCTGAGTACCAAAAGTAAGCCTGTGATAGGAAAAAATTAATGCCTTCAATGCAGAGGAAGCCAAGGACAGTGCACGTTATTCCTCATCACTCCTGACAGAAATCTGCAACCAACAGCTCATCCCATGATATGAAATGCTCAGGGGGAGCCAGAGGACATTGTAGTGGTCAAGGTTACAGACAGAATAGTCTTCTGGATTCAGCTGTCCTTTGAAAAATGCCATTATCTGTAACTGATGGACAGTGATAAACAACTGCGCATGACAACCACCAGAGTAGGTTCTGCAAGTGATAATACAACCTGCTACAGGCAAAAACCCAATTGATCATACTAAGAATGTAAGTAATTCCCACAGCAAGATGTAGCTGGAGTGACTTATTTTGGGTTAGAAAACGTTCATCTTCACCAAATCACTCCAATGAGAAGCACAGAGGCATTAACATTCAACTGTTTGGTAGTAGTTTAATAGTATGACAAACTAGATCCACCAGAGGATACCTGTGTGTAGCTCATTCAAAAAACTGTCAGATGGAAGGTATCAATAAGGTCAGTGGATGGAAGGGAAACCACCAGGAGAACTAACAGCATCCCCATGTATTTAGTAAATTCTCTGCCAGGCCACCCTGAGTACAGCTAAGGAGCTCACTGCAGTACTAATTTTAGCCCTGACTGATGGCCAAGTTGGCTTTATAGAAAGTTGCACATGTCAGAAATCATAAGTTGGAGGGAAAAAAAATGAATGCTGATTCTTGAAGCAATAGTGTATATGCACTGAAAAAGCGTGAATATCTACTTTAGAAGGCTTCAAGTTTTTACAGGTTCTGTTCTAAAACAAGAGTGATGCTGCTGTTGGGAAAACAGGATGCTATAGTCAGCTCTCTCAAAGATGCAGAAAGCCAAGTGCTGCCAATACAAGGCCCAGCCTTTGACCATAGCCAAGACTGCTCTTGGGGTGGAGCTGGTGAGCTACAATTGGACAGAGGGAAAACAACCTTTACCTGTTCTTTTCTAGTTGGCGGTTTGCCCATCTCATTTCAGAAACTACACTAGCATATACTCTCCAAATTCCAAATTTACTATTCAGAAGTTTAAGAAATGCAAGAGAATACTTCACCTGTTGTCATCAATAGCAGGACTATTATAATACACCAATGTTTTAATTTAGTTAGGAACCTCAAGATACTGAAACAACACTTCTTACCTCTGGAATTGTTTTGCGATAATCCCATTGTAACAGTTTCAAGTAGCCGTTGTTTAGCACCAGTGTAGGACTAATAATTGGTTTAGAACTGTCAGCACCAGGGGATGATGAAGATTCATCAGCAACAGATGACAATTCATCTTCTATTGATTCCTTTATCCATTCTGTTGTGAGATCCAGGGCACCTAAGCATTGCAAACCAGCAGATTTACTGCACGCTTTCATCAAAATAAGCACTAGCTTGAGGAAGAGTTGTACACGTTAGAACATTGAGCTTCTTAAGTCTAAACAAACATAGTGGACAGTTGAGCCTTCACACACATAAATCCTCTCCCTCACTTTTTTCTATTGATCATCTTTCATTAGTCACCTTAATATTCTAGCTAGCTTGTACAAACCCAACAAACTGTTAGGCTTCAGCCAAGATTTTTGTGTAAAAAAACCAAACCCTGAAAGTCCAAATTCCCAAAGCATTTTCCCTTTTTCAGGGAGGCTGCTTAATAGTTGGGTGGTTGAGGCACAGGACTGGAGAGTAGAGGTGAAGGGAGATAAACTGTACCAATAGCAAATTAAATGCTTTTAAAGAGTTCTTTCACAGGCTGCATATATAAACACTGCAGGTCATATCAGTGGCTTAAGGTTCCCATTTTAGAAGCCCTTGCTCCAGATATTAGTAAGTTTAACTTTTTCTTCTTTGAAAATAAATTTTCCTTAAGACTGTTTAGCCATATTTCATAAAACCTGGAATACTGCATCAAGTTGACTTTGCATCACTTAAGAAGTTTTCCTCAGAGCCTGCCTTTTGTTATTTAAAAAAAAAAATTGATCCTACCCCTTCCAACTTTCAGGCACACTAACTGGTTTTACGTGTTTACTTCCAACTAACAACAGACTTGCTGCGTACGAAAGAGATAAAGTCTCATCTTTCAGCATGTAGGGGCTTCTGCCTCCAGACAGTAAGAGACTTTGTTTTTCACATCCCAAGCAATTCAGAAAATACAAATTTTTCTGAAAGCATCCCAGATTACAGGTAAACATACTTTATAGCACGTTAAGCAATTGCCCAGTGGTAGCTTGCTTGTCAAAGACTTTTTGCAAAATTTGCATATGCAGATCCAGATAGGAAACTGAAATTTTCCTCCAATTAACTGCAATTGATAGATTTTATAGCATGTCTTAAAATAGACCTCTTTAAAGAAAGGCTTAAATTAAATACAGCGGGATACCTACTTGGTGTTTCCTCAAGAATTTCCTGGAATTTTGTTCTTTCGTAGTCCACCAAATTACGCTGAAGGTATGGCCTAAGGTTTTGAATTGTGTAATTAGCCATATCCACTTTCATCAGGTCCAAAACACGGAATATTTGTCTGAAAGGAAGAGTTTAAAATTTGACAATTACAATAGTCTATTGATTTTAACAAGCACGTGAGGTACACCTACGTTAGCACTTTAATTTCAATTCTGAGAGAAGTAAACTCCTTCCCTGATATTTCAGTGTAACAGACAGGTTACCTATCTTCCAGGATACACGAAGGAATACTGTGTATAAGGCTTGGTGTAAGTTACAGAGAACAGGACAAATATATTGCATCACTGAATGCTACAACCCTGTAACAGAAAGGTAAGGGTTTTCATGAGCTGTAACAATTGGTACATTTCAGCCTAAATGAACAGATTTTAACTTTTTAGTCACTCTAATTGTACCAAAAGAAACAATCCTTCTGACCCAGTTGCTTTGGTCCCTGTATATGATCCAAGTTGCACTATGCAGTAGAACAACAACTACCACTTACTCTTAATATTTCAATGGACCTACAGAGCAGTAAACTGGTTTCTGCCCTTTTACGGAAGTGTTTTATTCAAGTTAAAATAATAAGATCTTTACTAAAGAGATTTTAAATCCAAAGTTTGGCCTCCTAGAGGAAGCACACAACAAACAGCTCAACAAGGAACAGTACAAATGTGCTGCTTAAATTTTGTAAGGATGAAGAAGACTGAAAAAGCAGTCTCCAAAACACAGATTATTGCAAGAGTGCTTTTTCTGTTATTCAATGGTTTAGCATTCTGGTCACAGTGCATCACAGCTGCTCCCCCTTTAATGCTTCTATATGAAAGTAAGTTCTCCTAGTTTGAAAACAGGCATTATGTAAATTGACACCATTTAAGATTTCTTTTTAAGACTTTACCCCGCCTCTTCCACTGCCCAGTACTCTTTCAGATAAGAGGGTTTTCATCTTATCTGAAAAAACCCCATCCAAATACCAACCTCAGTAATTCTACGATATTGTCAGTTGCTTTTAACTGTTTTATATCGTTGTCTCTTACTGGAGCACATAATTTTCCCATAGTGTTGATGATATAGTTAGCTAGCCCATGAATATCAACAGCATTATGCTCTGCCTGTTGTCTTATAAGATCCGAATCTAGAACTTCACAAATTTGATTTCGAATCCTGTTTGCTCCAGGAGTCAGGAAGGAAAGAAGAATCTAAAGCAGGGGGTGGGAAAGAAAAAAAAAAAGGAAAAGCTTATCAATAAAAACCAAACCACTTAGGAAACATGCTGAAGTACAATTTTAATATTAATGTCAAGTGTATTTAGCTGACCAGCTATAACAAAACACATCAAGACTGAACATTATCTAAGTTAGCAGAAAAAAAAAGGACTGTTAAAAAGATCACAGTACAGTTCTGCAAAAAAAAAAAAAACACATTCAAAGGCACTAAACAAGAATGTATGTCAAAGGCTCTTTCAAAAACTGGGAGACTGCCCTGTAAAACAAACATTTGCTAACTTAAAATTTTGAAAGACTTCGTATCATGCCAGGATTGAAGTTTTGTATGCTCCCTTTTGCACTGATGATAAACAATAAAGTCTATTTGGGCAGGTACAGTCACATTTATACACCTGTTCATGCCCTAAGCTCACAGTATGTTGCTGGAAAGAGGCTAGTAGAGATGTGAAGCTTTGAGAAGAGAGCTGACTTGCAACTAACCATCACACCATGAAAGCTGAGGGGACATGCCACTGTGCATTTGTGGCCATGTTCATGGATAATATAAATATACTATAAATAGACACCTATTTGCAGTCCTGAATAATCATGGTTTCATCTTACAAGAACTTCGAGGAGTTGGGTTGACTGAGTTAGCAGACCATTCACTGAAGTAAGAGACTCTCAGACCTATGCTGACAAAACAATGCTGGGGCACAGGGGAGGAAGAACATTACCTCCTTAATTTCCTCAAAGAGCTTGATAGCATGTTCATATTCTGGAGGATCTTCATTCAGTTCTGATTCCAAATGATCCCAAAATGCCTTGTGTACAATTTGTTTCACTGTGCCTGCAAAACTGTGGAATAAGTCAATTAGATACAGACTCCCAACTAGCTTTCATCCTTGGTAAATGTGTTTTAGATTAGCCTGATCAATTCTTGGGAAACACACCCCACCTCACCAGCTATCATGCCCTGCAACCGTATCTTTCTTGGACTGCGGATCATCAGCTCCCAAAATGTGGTCTAGACTGATTAGTCCTAACACACCTGTATTTTAAAGTGGTGCTGGCAATTCAGATGTAGTTAAAGAGATACTAGTTTTCCTTTTTCCTTATTGTGTTTGTATTCATTGCCCTAACCTGATATGTTATGTACTAAGCTTTCTCAAAAACTATTCTCTGTCATATAACCAATTATCAGTTAAGGGACTTGTGTAATTAAAAAAAAAAAGGCAGGTTTTTAATTAAGTTTACTCAAAGTAAAGACCAGGGTCATTTTTAAGTTAATATCTGTAAGCAAGAACATTAAGTCTATAAGCAAGAACATTTTAGCTACCTACATTAGGGAAGTTACTTCTCACTTCCTCTGGATCTCCAGGTATTTTTGCACCTCTTCTGGGGCTAGTATTACAGCTATGTTCCTGATGAGCTCTGTCTTCTTATCACTATGGCACCAGTGAGCTACTACATACAACGGCATAGAAGGCCACCATTTCAGCTTTTCCACAGGGCTTGGAACTGCACAGAACAAAGCTATGCTCATCTTCCACGCATCCATATTGCATTAACCTTTTATCTTCTACATGACATTTAAGACAGAGCAATATGCTCCATGACAGTATGTCAACCCAGCTGGACTGCAACATTTGTTCCAAGCAAGACAGCTTTGACAGTGACTTCTGGAGGTGCAGGATTAAAGTCTGTAGCCTTCCAAGATGTTTTGGGTTTGGGTTTTTTTGTTTATTTGTGTTTGTTTTAATTTGTTGCTCCATTCATTCTTCCTTTCTTCCCAACCCCAGTGCCGCTTTTCGCAAAATTCACGCTCTTACCTGTTCTGTGGGAAGTCTTCATGTTTTATGCAAAAATTTGCATTTACAGCAATTTCATGAGCTAGAGTCAAGTCTGTCAAATTTCTTGCAGCTGCCATCAGTTCATCAAATGTAATAACCTTGGGAGGGCTTGCTGCTGGAACACACAAGATCAATTCAAGTCAAACATATATAGTTGATAAGTGCAATTGAAAAAATTAAAACTTAGAAATTTTACTGTTTGCTAATTGGACTCTAGTACTCTAGAAGAAACAACCTAGGATTACCAGGTCTTTGTATCTTCTTAAAACACTAACTCAGGAAACTCCCAGTTTATCAGGGGAGTGTGTGCGGGTAATATCACACAAGCCCCATAACATTTTGAACAACAATTTCTTATTTCTGCATCTTAAAGGAGAAAAGGTATCTTAGTTAAAACAGGATCTTGCATTCCACAGATTTCCTATTGACTATTCTGTAAAATCCACCAGACCAAAAGCATGGGCAATAACAGATACCAAATTCTGAGCACATAATGGCTACATTGTGGTTTTATTGCCTGTAGAGAAGGTTCTGAATTTACTGACTTGAGAACCCCTCACTTATGTTCCACAGCAGACACATCACAAGTTACACTCCCTTTTTACAAAACAGTATTAACAACATAACAGAAATTCTACACTGGAAAGCAAGAGTAAATTCCCAAAGTTTATAAACACCCAAATTCTGTTATTTAATTTAGTATTTGGAATTAAGCCTTTCAAGACTGGTAATAAAGACAGAGCCAGTTGCCAATTGCAGCTCCACTAACAAGCTTGTTTTAATGTAAGACTTCACTTACACTGAAAGGTATGCACGGTCTGAGAATGCTTACAGACACGAACATGAAGCACATCTTAAGGTTTTATTTATCATTACTCAGAATACTTTCCCTGTGCAAATGTGTTTTCTGTTTGATCCTAATATTTATGAAAGAAAAAAATGTGAGTTTGAGATTAATTTCGTGTCACTTCATATAATATTATAAATCTGTAACTTACAGATTTAACTTTTAAGTGTATGGAGCACACAGAAGAAACCCACCCTTTCCACAAAACTGTATCTGGTTGAATGGGAGACTGCTACCAACGTCAAGATTAGCTCACGATTAGCATGTCCATGGTGGCACACTTTTCTTACACTTTCTGAAGTGAAGGGGTGCCCAGGGAGACCTCCAAGGCTACAGCTGCTGCTGGTGTTCCACACACAAAGAGATGCACTGCTTCACAGCAGACAGAAAGCCATGCCTTTCTCTTAATACTCTTAAACAGAGATTCAGAATCCCAGGCTCTACCCATGACAGCAAAGAGAAACAAGGTAAGTTCGCCTTATCTATATACAATGCAGGTAAGGTTGAAATAGGCTTACATGCTGGGGAACTGGGTTTGCTTGAAGAATCGCTGTTAAAGCTCTGTCTTGAATATTCAGAGTCGCTAGAAGAAGCTGTGCTTTCAGAGAGGCGTGAAGAATCTGAATCACTGTTCTGGTCATCATTGAGAGGCATTCTGATTCACTTTAGCTGCTACAGTAAACAAGACCTGGAAAGACAAATAAATTTCCCATAAAACCAGCACTCACTATTTTTTTTTTTGTTTGTTCCTCAAAAGTCAGATACTGATCATTATATTGTGAATAAAGAACATGTAGTTCCCTTTCTTAAAAAGGTGTTACAGAAAGGATCTGGCTTGACATGCAGAATCATACAGTTGTTAACTAACTACACCTGTTCTGCAAGGAAGTTTTGTACCTTCTGCTGTTTCATACCTTAATGGTTATGTTAGAGGCAGTCTCTAAATTGGTTGTATTTAAAAAAATAAAAGACTACCCACAGCAACCCTTGAAGTTACTTGTTAGAATTTTGGAAGCTCTCAACACTCCATAAAGGCATCTCATGATGTTACCATCCCTCACCTGACTTCAACAAGTGATGGTTAGCAGTTCGGTTCCTTCCACAAAGGGACTGCACCAAGTCTAACAACTCTGAAGCAAACATAGAAGTCGCTGGGGAGAACAGGCAAATAATTCAAAATACTGCATTTCTGACAGGGTGTAGCTAGAAGTCTGGCTTGCTGCTTTAGGTGGGTCTTTGCTATGACAATGGCATAGACCCAAAAAATGCCCCCCCCCAGAGGTGAGAGTGGATGGGTTTCCTGTTGAAGTCAAATGGTAACTCTGAGACTCTAACTTTACCTTCAGCATCCATGACAAACACCACCAAGAAGTGTCATGCTTCATAGTGCTTCTGTCTACATAAAGAAACTGCCTCCCAGGCAGAAAAAAATCTGCAACTACAGAGAATTTGGACAGCTGCTTAGTGCAACAGAGATGATTAACAGTTATATGACAGGATGTGAAAAATACGTTCAGAATCATATTTAAATGAGAAACTTGAAGTCAGACGTAATTACTACCAAAGGAATTTGGCCCAGATACCAAATGTAGCTTAGTCCATCTTTGATTATGGCCACGAACCATTCTGTAGCAGACTTCATGATGAGACATGGCCAACAATGCTTTCCGTCAGTACATTTAAGTAATACAACTTCATTTATGATTAAATTGCATCAACTTCAGCAAGCAAGGAATACTGCACTTTGCAACTCGTGCACTTGGAAAAAGCCACTTTTGGCAGCAAAAGGATGACCTTTCTGTGTACTTATGTGAACCAAAGTATTGTGGGGTCAAGAGGTAGACAAAAGGGAGTAAGAATGAAGATTTCTTTATGCTGGCACCTAGTTACAGCTTAGAGCATTTCATTTTTTGGGTACCAGCTCATCCTGAATAGGCTTTATAACTTGATGGGGTATTAACTGATGACTACTCCCCTGTTAATTGAGATGACTAACATTTGTTAAGTGTATGTTTACTCCTCCTCCTCCCCCAAGAGGAAAGAGGATGCATTTGAGTGCCTTATTTATGTAATATTTTATGCTGGTTTTTGTGAAAAGAATTAATCACGTCAGCAAGAACACTGATGATAGTTACTTTACTGGAAAAGCCAGTAAGAGAGACTTTTGATCAGGATATAGAAGTCATGGGTTCAAGGCTTACAGTGTTAGTTGTGATCCTTAACATCCTAACTCTTTTATTAGAACAGCAACTTTATAATTTCTAACAAGCAACTGAAAACAAGATGATATTTAAAATAGTATTGACTAAACAAGAGTGACAGTTGCAAGAGAACCTAGAAAGCCAAAAGGCTGAGATATTTTTGACTTGGAAGTTGTATTTGTCTAAGTTACAATTAGAAATGAGTACCGCTAGTTAGTGTTACGCAAGAAACTAAAACTATTTCTTCGATTAATATCTGTTACAGATCTCAAAGCTAGCACTGACTAGAAACTAGTTGTGACCAGTAACCCAACTGTTGAACACACTCCAGGTTCTTGATGTGTAACCACTCACTCAGATACAGTAACCCTACAGAGCCTGCACTCCCACTGTTGTTTCTGAATCAGCAGCAGAACACTGTATTTCCAGGCTTTAATCATGTATAAAACTTTTGTTTATATATAAATAACTAACCTCCAAAAGGTTAATGTTGCACGTGGTCCATTGAAAGATTTGATCAGCGTTGTTAGCAGTGTACTGGCCCAAAGGGTCTCATAAATCACTTGCCTAGTATGAGCACTTCAAGATGTGTCTACTGCTTCAGTCTACGTGTTAAGAACACGGAAGAGATTAAGTGACCATTAAAAAAAGTTCTTACACAATTTATCAATTTAGCATTTCAAGAACTTCCTCTTAGCTGTCAATATCATAATTATAATATTCCAATTCATAAACATTCAAATAGTCAGATTTGCAACGTGCTCCTGACAGCAAGTACTAAACCAGCCATGGAGGAAAGTCAGCATTGCCATTTTCTACCCCAATCTCAATTCCCAAGACAACCAAATCATTCAGGTAATTCTGTACACATTAAGTCTTTACATACTAGTCCCAGCAAAGGATCTTTTGGCAACAAATACTTGCATTTCAAAGAGACCCATGACATATTTTGATGTACCGAGACCATACCTGTTCCTACAATACATGCACACATACAGATGGCAGAGTTGCCAGTACAGTGCTTCAGAAGACTTAATTTAAATAAGAAGTTTAAACAATGCAACAGAAGATAACACACTGAAAAAACACTGCAATCTTTGCCACAGTAAATATATTTCCTAATAAGATACCTCAAATGGAATGGTAAGGAAGAACGGGTGCATTCTGAGATTCAGAACATTATTGCTAAATTCTAAGTTTAAAAAATAAACAAGGCAGCAAGCACATCAAAGTAAACACATACAAGTACAGAAGCAGAATCCAGATATGCCACCTACAGTTTTTAAATATGATGCCCAACAGCTAAAAAGCTTAGAGAAAAGTACATTCATCAGGCATATCAAAGGGAAGTATAAACCAAAACCAGGCTTTTCTAATTAGTTACAACACGAAACAACTGAGTTACTTAGTCCTTTCTTTATAGCATACACTGGGAGAACGGCTTTTCCTTATGCTTCTGTAGGCAGCATAGACCTTCTCCTAAAGGTCCTCTTACTAAGGGCCAAGTTCACATGTACTTTTAAGTTTAGATTAATATAATTCCCAAATAAAAAGATTTCAGAAAGCCCTTTGGTCTTTCAAAACCTCTTTGTAACTCACCATCTTAAACAGACAATAACATCTTATTTTTTATTTGTTCATTAGGTATTACATATTAGGCTGTTGTTTTAATGCACAGTTTAATACCCTACCTATTCTATTAAAGGTTCAGCCTGCAGTTACAGCCTGCTTGCATTACTCTTCCTGCATTAAAGCCAACTGATGTTTACTTTTGTATTAGGTTGGATACCTGCACAGTGGGCTTCATTACACTGCTTTCTATCAGTCCTATTTTACAAGTTTTGTTTTCTTTAAGGATAAACTCTAAATGGGAGACCAAGCTAAAAATATCTTCTAGATGTACAAAACCCAAGTCTCCAGTTAATTCAACAAAGAACTAAATTTTGATGGTTTCTGATGCTATTCAGACAGATTAAGATCACTCTTTTTAGTAAAGATGCAATACAACACTGTAGACGCCTAAAGGCGTCTTGCTTTTATACGGTCACTACATCACCCAACCCCATCATTCACTGAGAACTGATCAAGATTGCAAGATCAGATTAGTTTTAGAGAACACAAACACGCTCTTTATTCCTGAAGGCTTCCTTTAGAAGTTATTTTATGAAGCACCTGGGGAGGGGGGAAGACAGTTTGGAAGTTTTGTGGTTTTTTTTTTCTTCAGATACCATCTTCAAGAAAAGCTTTTACCTACTTTGTTCAAATAATACACTCCATCCATGCACACTTTTTAAGTGCTCTGCACAGTTTTGCCACTGTGAAGGTCTTTATTTATTCCACTGGGCTTACGTCCGTGCTATCTTCAAGCTGGCACCGACCGAATCTCGTGTGGGCTCGAGTTTGCCTGTCCCCGACTCCACCTTTGTCGGCACTCACGGCACCGGAGCAGAAAAGAGCCTTTGTTAAGAGTTACAGGATTTCCTCATGTTTTTGACATTTCTCTCCTTCAGTTTTCTCGTTCCGCAGCGCTCCCCTTTCTGCACAGGCTGCTCTTGCCGAAGGCTTAAAAAAACACCCAAGTCGGAGCGAGTGCGTGCCCCGCAAGGTCTGTCCCCCAAGGGCCGCCACGGGGGTCCCCCTCACCTCAGACATTTAGGCAACG